TGATTCTCTGCTGGTATTACAAATGTATTTGTAATGTCTTTCTAATACTAGAGGTCAGCGGAGAATGGCCAAGCTGGTTCAAACTGTCAGGAAGGCAACGGTAACTCAAATAACCAGTGATTACTACCAAAATATGCAGAAGAGTGTCTCTGAATGGGCAACACATTGAACACTGAAGCTGATAGGATATAGCAGCAGAAGACCACATCTGGTGCCACTCCTGTCAGTTACGAAAGGGAAGCTGAGGCTACAATTCACACAAGCTTATGAAAATTGAATACAGAGGCAAGAAGCATATTTATTGGTGCTGCCACATTTGAATGGTAGTGTCAGAATTTGGGGTAAAGAACATGAAATTATTGATCCATCCTGCCTTGTATAAATGCTTCAGGCTAGTGGTGGCTAGCAGAACTTTTAGGCCTCTTAGCACCACAGCTTACCTGAAAAAGTAAAATGAAAAAAAAATTAAGAAAAAAAACTAAAAAATGCAAAACTTTGAAACTTATGTTTTAGAATTGTGTTTCGACTGAAAATGAAATAGGAAAAACGCCAGAATTTCTAAATGAACCACTGAGCAGTTTATCTTTTTTTAATTAATTATTTTTTACCTCCTGTGTCTGCCGCTGTGAAACAATCAGAAATTTAAGAACACGAAGGCCCCCCTTATAGGTCCAGCCGTCGTGTTGGCTGGAGATCCAGCCCAGCAGGTGGCAGTAACACACCAGAGGGATTTTTACAAACCACCAAAACCCGGGAAAAAGAATCTACTGAAGCGCATGCGCACAACAAATCAGATGAGCGTGTCGCTGTCGTTGTGAAACTGGTGAGTGTTTTAATAAAGTAATCTGTTTGTAGTCTCCTAAAGTGTTTAACTTTGTGGCTAACGGATGTGGTCATTTTGCATTTTTAATATTCACTTTAATCATCTGTATTTGTTAAAAGCTTTGCATTACTATTTGGTAGCACCATTAGCTTAGCATTAAAATTGCTAGCGCATTTAGCGGCTTTTGTATGCTAAAATGCTACAGCTAGCTAGATGTTGTTGGGATCATTTAGAAGAATGGATTTCTTTTTTAATAACGGGAAGAATCTTTTTTTTTGCTCGCTGGTAAATTGCCACCGATAACTTAACTTGGTCCCCTAAAAACTGCTGTTTGGGCCTGACTCCGCAGTGTTCATGTTGACTCTTTGTATGGACGTTAGCATTGGGAATCTTCGTATAGAGGGGATTGTAATGACGAGTTGCTTTTAAAACAGGTTATATGACCCATATAGGTTTGAGCAATAAAAATGTGTCCAGGTTAGAGCCTTAGCTAAAACACAAGTAATAATGCAAATCTACACATGATGCTGTTGTTGTGCTACAGCCCTGGAGTGCAGGGTTATTAATGTCGACCTTCACTGGCAGTACTTGTTAGGGCAAGGTAATATGGCCAAAAATATTTATCACGATATATATTTGAAAATTTGCGATAACAATATAAATGACGATATAATTGACGCGAGACAAAATATTTTAGAACTCCACAACTTTATCAGTGCAACAAAACAAAACACACACATCAATGTATTTTCACTTAAACAAGCAGCTGTTTTTTTATGTGCATTAAAGCTATATAAAAATTTAACAGTGCAAATGCAAATTCCTTCCTGACAGTTTAACCAAAAGGCATTACCAGTGGAAATTTGCAGACATATCCTGAGCTTAACCATGTATAATATCCACAAAACTTAAAAAAGTGGTTATACACACACAATGCGATAATATTATGTTGAAGCACAGTACATATTACTCTGCAAGGCTCCTGACTACAGTACCTGTAATGCTTCGACAATCCATCAAGTGGTGCGGCTTCGTAGCTTAGCAAAGTCGTACTAAAACATTTTTTGACAGATTTTTGAGCGCCGCGTACTGCATAAAATCGGTACGGTACACCACTGAAGTTGCACCATTTTTACAAACCAATTCTGGTTCATCTGTTTCATTCAACGATCCGCTTTCGCCCTTCTCATTCTCTGTCACCGCCTGCTTTTTCCGCCATGTATGTATGAAAACAAAGGCACTGCACATGCGCGTTTTACCCATATTCTTTTGCGATATTTCATTTTCTTATCATTGCCTAACATTATACCGGTATTATGAACGGTATGATATGGCCCAGCCCTAGTACTTATTGTTTTATTTTTCACCAGGTAATCAGGGTAACTGTCAACGTTCGTGTGGCTGTTTAAGTCCAAAACCTTGCAAAAATGGATTTCCAGCATCGAGCTGGAGGGAAGACGGGGAGCGGAGGGGTGGCATCTGCCTCTGAGAGTAACCGTGACAGGCGAGAACGGTTACGTCAGTTGGCCTTGGAGACCATTGATATCAACAAAGACCCCTACTTTATGAAGAACCATTTAGGATCATATGAGTGCAAACTTTGTCTGACACTTCACAACAATGAGGTGAGGGACACATAATGAGACATTTCTCTGTTAACTGAATTTGTTTTTATTTCTTGTCATATGGATGTCTTATTTGAAAAGAAAAATTAAAAAATGTCTCTCTGTATTTCAGGGAAGCTACTTAGCTCACACACAAGGAAAGAAACACCAGACCAATCTGTAAGTCCATACATTATCTGTGCTGCAACACAGAAGTGCAATAGCTGTAACTTTATGTTCTGATTTAATTAAAGTTGCTGTTTAACACAAATGAGTCCCAATTTGAAACTTCTGGAGAAATTTAAATTTAAAGAAATGTAATTTTGAGGAAAACCTTTTACATACATTTTTCAGAGCACGGAGGGCAGCCAAAGAAGCAAAAGAAGCTCCTGCTCAACCAGCTCCAGCCAAAGTGAAAGTTGAGGTCAAGAAGTTTGTCAAAATTGGTCGACCAGGATACAAAGGTAGGCAAGCTCTGGCATTTTATATGGTAGTCACAGTTTGGTTTATAATACTAGTTTCTTTAAAAAATGCATTGTTAAAAAAAATATGTTTTTTTTTTTTTAAAATTATTCACAGTGACCAAACAGAGGGATCCAGAGATGGGACAGCAATCTTTACTTTTCCAGGTTTGTATATTTTGAAAGAATGCACATAATCCAGTATCCTTTTGAGGCCACATAAATAAGTTATTATTTGTGTGCTTCAAACAAAAGCAAAATGCTCACTTATTCTTTGGATAATCTGGTGAGTGTAAAGGGGCTTTACGCTGAAACTGGATCACAGGAACAAATCATAACCTCATGCTCTAACCTGCAAAGTTTCACAACACCACAACAGTAAAGGCCATGTGTTACTGACCTTCTTTTCTTGGCCCATCAGATTGACTATCCAGAGATCGCTGAAGGAATTGGACCCAGGCATCGCTTCATGTCTGCTTACGAACAGCGCATTGAGCCTCCCGATCGTCGCTGGCAGTACCTGCTTTTTGCTGCTGAACCATATGAGACCATTGCTTTCAAGGTGAGACCTGCACTTTTCTCTTCCCCTTATGTTTTTTTTCCTTTGTCATTTTTTCCTTCACTCATGTAACAACAAGATGTTTGCTGTTTTAGGTACCCAGCAGAGAAATTGATAAAGCGGAAAACCGCTTCTGGACCCACTGGAACAAAGAAACAAAACAGGTACCATGTATGTTACAGAGTGTCTGCCAGTAGAGTTATTAGGTCCAGCAGCCAGAACCAATAGGAGGGGTGAAGCAAAGTGGGCACACTGTGTGTCAAAAACAGAACAGCAGAGGTGTAGATTTAGCTTCTTTTCTGTCTAGAAAAACCGTCTGATAAGATGCGCACCTTGGGGAATTTTTCCCGTCTTTCCGTATGAGAAGACATTAATGTGCTGCAGAGTGAGCGAGCTCTGAATCATTGTTTACCTCATTTACATGCAACCTAATCTAATTAGTAAACAAACGTGGGTGAATGTCAGCCCGTGGGTGAATGAAGGTAAAATGGTCGCTTGAACTTGTTTATAGTTCTAACTTTTTCAAGCTGTTATGCACAAATAGCAGTTGATAGGAACAGTGAGTCAATAAAGTGACCTTAATATTTATTCTATATGTTTACCTCTTCATCTTAAAAATCCTTGTAAAAAGTTTCTGTGATACACTAGTTTAAACTAGTGGAACTTGTATATTAGTTTTCCTAAATTGTTTCTAATAGTGGAAACATGTCTTTAATTGTTCTTTTTTTTGTTGTTGTTCTATCCAGTTTTTCCTACAGTTCCACTTCAAAATGGAGAAACCTGTTACCCAGTCGAGCGGCCCAGCACCTGCTGCCACTGTGAAGCGTCCTCCTCCCCTTATGAGTGGAGATCACCCATCAAACGACTCTCTGCCCCCTCCCCCTCCAGGGGGAATGCCCATCCCTCCTCTACCGCCTGGTGCCCCAGGAGCCCCTCAGATGCCCCCACAGATGCCCATGCCCCCCATGCCAATGAGGCCACCCCCTCCGGAGGGCCTTACATTAGCTAATAACTGATCTCTGGCCAGTGATCTGTTTTGATTGATTTACTTTGATTTCTGTAATGGTGTGTAGTCACACTGCCCTGCCTGTTTACAGTGTCCATCTCCTTGTAGATACTGCAGTTATATTTAGTTTTATTATTTCTGCAAAGGGTTAAAGTTCATGTTTATTGGAGTTTTCAGTCTTTGTTTGGTTTATGTAAATGTGCAGGGCAGTCTCTTACTGCAGCATCATAAATATGACCACACTCTTTTGTAATAATATCCACATTCTGGATATGGAGGTGTGATTGGAAGTTTGTATTTTAGGATTATGGTTTTGTAATTAAATGTTTTGGACAAACAGAAAATGTTTGTGTCATAAGAGTCTTTGATTTTACAAAGATATTCCACCAAAAGATTTCTTGAGTGTTCTTTAAATACTGAATCTCAGCTTTGCTTATCAGTGTGAAAACCTGAATTTACTGAGAGGACAATTTTTTAACTGGGCTCTCTTTAGTGGCTCTACAACAAGCTAAACTGAACAAATGAAGTCACTTCTAGCAACACACAGTTGACATTTTAACTGCATTTGAATGGGCATAATTTATTCAGTGCCACCTGTCAGAACCAGAAAAACAAATTGGTTAACAAAATGCCTCCGTTTGAAATAAAGCATTAATACACCAAACCACCAGAAAGCATCCAAATCTATAACAGCACTGAAAGTCGTGTTAGAAGATTTAATTGCAAGCACACTTTAAGGCTTAGATTTTGACAAAATTGCCACCTTTTAATAATGAATAAATCATACCAGCTGATGAGAAAATAGCTTCTACTAGAGTGAAGTTATACTTCTGGACTCTTTCTTTTCTTTCTTTTCCTCTGACCTCTTATTTTCCTGAGCAACAGCCTCCTCATCTCCTGCATCTTCAGGATCACCTTTTTTGTCTCTACCTTTCTTTACTTTGATTTCTTCATTTCTGGCTTTCGTGGCTCTCCTGTCCTTTAATTTCTTATCTCTTTGCTTTATGAGTTTCTTATCTGGAAGTGGTTTGTTTCTCAGAGCTCTTAATCCTCGTGCTGTTGCTCCTCTCTTTGATTTTCCCCTTTTAACCTCTCCATCATCATCATCGTCCTCTTCTTCCTCGTCATCAAAGTCAGGCAGCCACCAAAACACGACTTCCCACAGAGATGTTTCAGGCTGCCGGGGGAGAACAATCAAACAAAATGTTCACGCCACCTATGTTGATCAGCGATCATTTTTAATCGCCAATTTACCTCCGGCAGTGGTCTTCTGTGTCGCAGTGAGCCTGATCGCCTCATTGTCAGTCCAGTTTCTTCCTCTTCAACTGCTTTGTGACCACGTAAGGTTTCTGTTTTGGTTACAAGAAAGGATCACCCACTCACAGTAGATGTGCTATTTTCATACCTGAGTTTTCACTTTAGTTCACTGGTTTACTTGCCATTGAGCCTCTGAAAACCTGAGGTGAGCACCAGGATGGTAATGGCCACAAGCAAACAGCGGTTCAGGGTGACGTTCTCCCACGGGGTTTCGATCTGAGTCGGATTCTGAATGGACAAGGTTTTGTGCAAGGATGCTGAAAGAAAAAAGAAGTTAACAGGATGCACGAATCAGAGAGACAAGGGTAGGGGAGAAAGCTGGGACTCACTTGGTTTGGGGAAACTGACTTCTCTGGTTATAGTCTTGGGTTCTGGTGCTGGCTGCTGTGGAGCTGGAGCCATTTCCTATTTAAGAACAATGTGAAGGTTAATAGAAAAAGTCTTAAGGGCTGTGAGCTGAGTGAAAAATTGTTAATGCTGGTTGTTTTCCAACCTACCTCTCTGATTTTTCTGGTAGCGTACATTTCTGGAAGGGACAGATGGAGATTTAATGAAGGGTGATATCATACACCATTAACAAAAAAACAAAACCCCAAACAGCCATGCACTCAATCTGGAACTGGTTTGTTTACATCAATTAACATATATTCATATACTTGTGCTGGCTGAACACATGTTTTTCAATTTTATTAACTCCTCTGTAGATAAACTACAAGTCATCAGTGAAAAATACTGTTCTGGTTGAAAAGACTGCAGGCATGCTGGGAGCTCCGGCTGGCTTTGAGCTGAATGTTAAATGCTATGTTTCCCCATCTCAGTCTAGCATGCACTTAGCACAAAGTTCAGGGTGAGGTTGATGCACTTGATCATTAACCAATAAAAGAACAAAAGCCCAGATTTTTATGCCCAGCGCAAACTCAGATATGAGTGTGAGAAGCAAAACTATCATGAAGCTGTTGGTGCTATTGTTTTCTACAGCCATTGGTGCTATTTGATAGCCTAGCTTGTTAGCCGCGCAGAGAACCATTTGACTTCTACACTGTCAAGACCAAACCAGCTAAACTGTGCAATAAACTGTGACAATGAGTCTGAAAAATTTTTCTCCAAAAAAAAAAGTTTTCAGAAACTCCTGCTGTAGAGGCCTTGTGAACATATGACATGAAAATATGATACTTTCCTTTTTTTGTTTAGATTTATGTTTCAGAAGATGTTATTTTTGTGGAAATAAGCTCAGTGCACCCCACTGTACTGAAAAATGATCCATCCAGCATGGCTGTGGCTCATTATCACTGTGTTGCTTTCCACCAGGAATCAGATTTCGGTGGCTCCTTGTGCTGCTGTTCCCTAGTATTTATAGAGTTGTACGCATATCCTGTATTTGCAATGGAAGAAATCATTTATGCATAGTCATTAACAATTCAGTGTGTGTGTGTGTGTGTGTGTGTGTGTGTGTCGCCACCTGGTTTGCGGATCTGCCTAACAGGTTTCTGTGGAGGAGGATCTGCTCTTGGTGGCCATAACTCCTCTTCAAATGTTTCATAGCTTTCTTCCATTTCTTCCCTGAGAGAGATGGAGGAGAAGAAACATGGGAGTAGCAAATCATTTTAATTTTTCATGTTTTAGCAGACAATCACAAAAAGATCACAAAAGCTGCAGAGGCCAGTTCAGCTTTTTTTAAGGGATGTTCTTGCTTTTGCTTAAGTTCTGAATAAGTTCTGAATACAAGATAATTCATTGGATCGCACTCTTATCACAGTTGTTCTTATCACTATTTCTTCCCCCATAAAAAAAAAATCCTGATGTCTCATTGGAATTCAGTTTTGACTGCATAAAACGATACTAGTAAAAGGTCAACTTTGCCACTTTTGCATTAAATTAAAGCGGTTTTCTGACCTTAACATTTACAAATGAATACAGTAAGGGCCTTATGTGTTGCATGACATTTCTCAACGGACACTGAGGTAATGCCCTTCCAGGCCTATAAATAGATAAAGCAATGGTACCAGCAGACAAATGGATACACACTATATAAATACACAAAAAATTAAAGCCCCAATGTTTCTCTTATATTCTTGATCAATCTCTTCTGTGTTTCAGCTGTAAAGTCAAACCCCAATTGGAAGAAGGACCTACCTGCCTCAACATTTGGGGTCCCCTGGGCAGTGCTGGGAAGCCTTTGTCACAGAGCTGTTGTTCCTCCACAAAGATGGCAGCTGAGTCTCACTCTGAACTGTCTGACAGCCAAGAACAGGTGGCGGAGAATGAAAAAACAAAAAGGTATTGGGTGTCAGGCGCTGACTGAGGGAGGGCTGACATTAACATGCTTTATGCAACCACTAGAGTGATGAGGGTGGGGGGAAATAACCAGTTCTGAAAAACTCTGACCCATTTTGGATAAATATCACTTTGTGTCCAAGAAGTCAAGGAGAAAAAGTCTCAACTTTTTGAACAGCAACGTGCTGCAAACAGTGATTTTGATATTTTTAAGCAAATGGTCAAAAATGCTGCAAAAGAGAGGTGAGTGGGTTTTTTTTATTCATCTTCAGACGTTTGAATTTTGTATTATTACTCACCAGCAGAGAGCGCTGCTGTGCTATTAGGGAGATAGAGTCTGTGGCACTTTGCTCTGCAGATGAGGCCTGTGGTCTGTCAGATAGATTAGCCTTCAAACAGACAGAGGGTCTGCCAAATTTCTTTTTATGAAGCTACATCTGCGATGCAAGCACTTCAGACACATTAGGCCATTTTGTCTGAGCAGATTATATTCATGCAGAGGCTTTGCAGCATATTTCCTCTTTTTTCCCCTTGTTAAATTAATAAGACAAGTAGGTATTGTCATTCTGTGTGAGATGTGAAGCCTCGAGGCAAACTCATCCTTCTATGTGACATGGAGGCCACTAACAAGAAGCCACGCGAACAGATGTAAATCTGATTGGGTTATATCAGGGTTAGGTGGTTGCAGGCCACCTTTATGTGGGAGGGGAGAGGAAGTGTTGATAAACAGACTTGTGGCGATGCTGATGAGTCATACCTTTGCTGGTACTGTGCCCAATTCCTGTTGAATCGCACACTGCTTTAGCTGTCAGTTATTAAAATTGGATGTTTGCTCTGTAGCCCTTGAAGTGAAGAGACTGATCTAAACAAACCGGGGATATACTCTTTGTTTTCCAATGTAACGCAAGCAGCCTCCAAATATATTTCGTTCCCCAAAATGTGTTAATTGTTTGCAGATCTAACCCGCAGAACTCCGACCAGCATTTAGCTGATTTTCAGCTTTTTATTGCATTCTTTTTTTTAAAAAAAAATTCAAAACACTCAGTATGCTTGCTTATAATGATCCTGTCTGTGGCCTTAATCGACCAAATGCACACTCTCACCCCGCTGATTTGTCGGTACTTATTAGTCCCAAGGATGCTCCTTCACCGCGTGCTAGAGTGCGTCATCTGTGTGAAGAGTTCTTTCTATTATCACTGATTGAAAGCTCATTTGATCTGGATAAAAATAATTCCACCAAGTTTCAAAATGAACATAGAGATTTAAATTTTTTCTTTCTCAGCACTCTGTAATCTGGGATTCTCCTTTCATCCTTTATTAAGCACACATCAAGGTAATAAAGTGAAACTTTGCAAGTTTGGGACAAAACCTTAAAGAATGTTTCAAGGGCAACTCTAACCCCCCTGTGGACACATTTTATCCAGTATAAACGAGCAAACATTGCTCACGGACATGTACGTTCCAGATTCAGGCACTAGAGAGATCTTAGCTGGGTGAAGCTTTCTGTCCCCTTTTGTCCTTACATAATGGGGACTGTGCTCAGAGAACAAGCTGCCTGTCCAGCACGCAGTGGGAGCTGCTCTGTGCCCTCTCTCACTGAGTAGCACGAAGGAGCGTGAAGCAGCATTAGTTGTAGTCTGTCTGGAACATAAAGGCCTATGACGCCTTGAATATTGTTTCAGTCTTTGATTATTTTAATTGCTTTTAATTACACTGTTAGATCGCTTTAGTTTGAAGTCACTGGGGAAAAAAAAGACCTGATATGGCAAACCTTACAATTAACGTAGTTTTTCTGGTGCTGTAGCCTCAAGACTTCACAAACCAGAATACGTGACCACTCAGAGACTTGATATATTAGAGTCTCAACTCCCTAAAGGCTTGGCTTATTAAAAATAAAAACACACTCCTGAAAAAAACCCTGCATATCTAAACTTTCCCTCTACTCCAAATGTATTTTTATCCATTTATTTTTTTTCCCAGATAGAATATTTTGGCTTTACTGTACATAACCATATACAGTAATGTGTTGGTGATATCACTGACCGTGTATTTTTTTTTTTCAATAAACTTTATGCATAAGTGAAGTAAACTAATAAGTATTCAAATCAGGAATTAGTGTGACCTTTTTAAAATGTTGTTCTCAGCACATTTGCACACTTTTTAAGGTGCTTGGTACACAGATGGCTCCAGGCATCGTGGAGAACATGCCACATTTCTTCTGTGTAGATAGGCTGTCTCTGAGTCTTCATGTAATCCCAGACTCATGCTATGAAGTGGAATCCAGGTTTCTACAGGGGACCACTGTAGGTGTTCTCTTTGTGTAACAGGTGGGTGCATGTAGTGTCGAGGCATCCACACAAAAAAGAGGATACATGAAGCTGATACTAAGGCAGGTTGTGGCATTTAAACAATGTTCAATTGCTCATCAGCAGAAGACCACATCAGTGAACTGCACTCTCAGGAAACTGAGGTCATAATTCACTGGCAAAGTCTCCTGCTGCTGTATCAGGTCTGCTTCAAGTTTCAGTGTGTTGTGTATTAAGAGATGCTCTTCTAGATACCTTGGGTGTAATGGGTAATTATATTAGTTAATGTTACGTTCCTATCAACTTCAAGTAGTCTGGCCAGTCTCCTTGGAGTTTTTTGGACCATCCTCTGTAAACCCTAGAGATGGTTGTGTAGAAAAATCCCAGTAAAGCAGCAGTTTCTGAAATACTTAGATCAGCATGTCTGGGACAAACAGCCTTGTTCACCGTCACTTAAATCATCTTTCTTCCCCATTCAGATGCTTAATTTCAACTTCAGTAGGTTGTCATAATGATGTCTTAATGCCTAGATACACTGAGTTGCTGCCATATGAAGCGGTCTGTGAGTTTATAAATACAACAGTGCTGTCCATGTCCTTCAAAAGTGTTTTAGGTGAGTACACACCGAGTGGCAGTCAGTGAAGTACAGGATTGTAAAATGATTGCTTGACTGCCTTATGTACCATGCATACAGAGTGTTTCAATTCTGTAGCGAGTCCAGAAGGTGAGCCTGAGGCTGTAGTGCGCTCAATGCGTAGGTTTTCCTTTCTTTTTTAATAGCCTAAATTCATTCTAAACATAACATTCCCAATGAAAATGTATTATAGGAGAAAAATAACAGCTGAAGGGATTTTAGGCATCGTGTCTATTCAGTAAAAAAGAATCACAACACTCTGAACTGAGCCTCACTGAACAACTCAGGGTGGATTGATAGACTTTACCAGGGCTTTCAGTCTTAGTCCTTATCAGTAAATGGATTTTAATTTCCTGTCATGTGGTTATGTTGACATGTGAGCTCAGTGGCTGGTGTCATCCTCAATTCAATTCAATTCAATTCAATTCAATTCAA